CAGCTCCAACTCCTTAAGCACCACCAGCCCCAGCAGCTCCAGTACCTCCAGTACGAGCACCTCCGGGACCAGCTGCTCCAGCACCTCCAGCAGCTCCAACAGCACCAGTACCTCTAGCACCAGTACCTCCAGGACCAGCGGCTCCAGCAGCTCCAGCACCAGCAGTACCTCCAGCAGCTCTAGCTCCAGACGCACCTCCAGCAGCCTCAGAAGCACCTCCAGCAGCTCCAGCACCAGCAGCACGGCGACAGCGCAGAGTGTACTTCTCACGAAGCTGCTGCAGAGAGAGGGGCTCCCGCCGTGACGGAACACCCGGAGGACCTCCAGACTCAGCACGCTCAGGCTCAGCACCCCCAGTCTCAGCACTCCCAGACTCAGCACCCCCAGGCTCAGCACCCCCAGGCTCCACACGCTCAGGCTCAGCACCCCCAGGCTCCGCACCCTCAGACACAGCAACCCCAGGCCCAACACCCCCAGTCCCCGCACCCGCAGGCTCAGCACCCCTAGCAGCACCTGAGTCGACAGCTACCTCGACAGGCTCGACAGGGTCTACCTAGGACACACCTGAGGGGGCAGGACCCTGAGGGGGGAGGGGGTCTACCGGAGGAGTACCTGGTGCTAGGAAGAGTGGCGGGGGGGGGAGAGAGGCAGTGCGGTAGGGAAAGAGACGGTATTAAGACACCGACTCATCAAACGTGACGTCCTGAGAGGACAGAACACGACGCGAGGTGGGGTGGTAGAACTGCCACCCGGGTGCGTCAGGGGGGAAGCCAAGGAAGACGCAGGGAACGACACGGGAGGACAACTTGTCCGCTGAAGTATCGCGGACAAAAGCTCGAGATCCCCAGACATGGAACACAGACGCATCGCCAACCTTCCCCGTCCACCGCAGAGTAGGTGTGGTCTCCGGCAAGGAGACACGAGGCTGAAGGTTGATCTGATGTGCAGCGTACTGAACCGCGAACGGCCACAGAAAATGGGGAGCAGCCGCATGGATCATGGACGTACGAGCGACGTCCATGACCATGCCAATGCGGCGCTCAGCAATCCCATTTTGTTGTGGGGAGGCCGGAAGCGTGAACGTCTGGCGGATGCCCTCAGCACGACACAAGGCCCTCAGAAGGTCGGAGGAAAACTCACCACCTCAGTCTGAGTGCAGACGCAGAACAAGAAGGTCCGAGCCGAAACTCTCGCTGAGCTGGCGACGGGTACCGCGGATCCAGTTGATCAACACCTCAGTGACCTCACCCTTGCTGCGCAAGGGGAAGAATGTGGTGTAACGCGAGTAGTCGTCAACGACCAGCAGGAAGTAACGCTCGTGACCCTGTCCACGGACGCGGGCTGGGCCCCACACGTCCATGTGAAGAGTCTGCAAGGGGAGCCTCTGTCGGGGGGAACACAGAGGAGTGAGGAGCGGCGCGTTGCCGACCCTCGACACAAGGAACACAGGTAGGGGCAGGCCCCGGAGGAAGGGGAGGGAGGGACCTGGGGAGACCAGAGGCAAGGGTACGGGAGGCCATACCTCAAAGACGAGGCAGGGAGGGGTGACCAAGGCGGCGGTGCCAAAGGAGAGTCTTGTGTGACAGAGGACGACACGAGCAGGGGGCAGACACTGGACTAGACCTGGACGTGGCAGAAAACACCTGACCAGACGCGTCTACCTGACCAGACGCGGCTACCTGACCAGACGCAGCAACCGGAGGAGACGCAGTAGTCAGTGTGTACAGACTTGACCCAAGGCGACGGGTGAATGTGGCCAGGTGGCGGCCCATCCGAGAGCAAGTGCAGTGGGTCACACGCTGACCTCCAGGGGTGAACTGGTCAACCCACGTGTCCTGGAGGTCAGCTCCATTCACCAAGTTCGTAGAGAACGAGGGGAGGTGGAGTCCCGACAGCAAGCCCGACGGGGCCGCAGGACACGGTAGAACCGTGGAAGAGTGCGCAAGGACTGGGCCCCCAGAGGGGTCAGCCAGGGAGACTGCGACAGGCCGACTTAGCGGCGTGAGTGTGGTGCTGTCGCGAAAGAAATAGCGCGAAGCACCTCAGTCAAGTGTGAAAGTGTGCAAGGCCTTAGTAGGTGCAGTACCAGAGAGAGCAGACTCACCAGCACGTGGAGCAGCAGACTCACCAGTACCTGGAGCAGCAGACGCACTAGCACCTAGAGCAGCAGCCTCAATGCCTGGGTCGGGCGGAACACCCAGGTAACAGTCACCCTCAGCACTATCAGTCACAGCATACATGGCAGCAAGGATAGCATCGAAATCAAGATCAAAGATAGCAACATTCTGCTTAAGCAGATCACCCCAGCGAGGGAGCTCAACAGCGTCAGGAAACTGGGCGCGCCAGGCGTCAGTCAGGCGACCGAAGCAGCAGTGCGCAGTGTGTGGCAGCCCGCACGTCTCCCCACGACGGCCGCCGGTGCGAAGAACGTAAGTGCAGGGACCAACACCCCCAGACCTCCCACGCCCAGCGTACCACTCACGAAGCTGCTGGGCCGACGGGGTCTCACGGGAACGTGGCTGCTGCTGGCGCTGGCTACCACCAACGCCTCCACGCTGCGCTGCTGCACCTCGACCAGCACCACCGCCGCCGCCACCTCCACCACCACTGCCACTACCTCCACCTCCGCTGCCGCTGCCTTCACCACCCCCACCGCCGCCACCGAAGCCTCCACTCCCGCCACCACCCCCACCTCCACCGCCACCCCCTCCGCCTCCTCCACCGCCTCCACCGCCGCCCCCACCATCCCCTCCACCACCCTTGCCCCCCTTGTCCCTGCTGGTGCGGCGCCTCCCACTAGGAGCAGACGCAGCCCCGACCTCCTCAGTGCCAACGAGGTCGACAGCAGCAGCAGAAGCAACAGAGGGGAGAAGGGGGACAGGGGAACACCCCTCAAAGAAAGGGGCTTGACGGTCACCGCGAGAAGCACCTACAGCAAAGATACTCTTCTCAGCCGCAGTGAGGCGCTCCTCTAGCAGGTTGACAGTGAGCTCGGTGGGGCAAAGGGAGAGAAAGTGGTCCCTGACTGAAGCAAGGGAGTCAGGGAGGCGGGTGACTAGGTAGTAAAGGGTGATGTACATGGGGGGGGGGGTTCTTGGCACAGAACTTAGTGGGAAGCGCAGCGCGGTAGCGGGCGTCACTAGTGCGGAGGTGGGTAATGAGGTCAGCGACTGTGGCAAAGGCGGCAAGGTCAGGGAAAAGGTACGGCAGCATGAGGCGGCTGAGGGCAGCAGTGGCAGGGGAGGAGTAGCGCGCTACGACAGCGTCGTACAAAGACTTAGCAGTCTTGTACGGGCCAAAATGCGCGCGCTCAGCAGACGGTAGGTGACTACGAACAGCAAGGCAAGCAACAGCGTCACGAGTGGTCCACTGCGAGCGAACCGTACTGTCAGCAGTGGCAGCAGGTGCAGTAGAGACACCGGACGTGTGATCGAAAGGGGATACCCCATCCCTAGAGTCACACTGAAGAAAGAGCTGCAGGTCGTCAATCCACACGTCAAAGTCAACTGCACGCCCCTCAGCATCAAAGGTGAGAACAGTAGGGCTAGCCATAGTAGCAGTAGCAGCAATAGCAGCAGTAGCAGCAGTAGCAGCAGTGGCAGCAGAAGCAGTGCAAGCAGAAGGGCAGCGCGGCTCGGCAGGGCGGCGCGGCTCGGTAGTGCGGCGCGGCTTGACAGGGCGGTGCGGCTCGGTGCCTGGCGGCTTGGCGCGGCAGCAGGCGGCGCGGCGCGGAAGGGTGGCGCGGGTGCTTACCAGGGGCGGGTGCAGGGCATGGCCGCAGCTGGCGGTTTAGGTCAGGGCCGCGACCGGGGCGGCAGCAGGGCAGGGCCGCGACAGGGGCGGCTGCAGGGAAGAGCCGCGACTGGGGCGGCAGTAGGGAAGGGCCGCGTCAGGGCGGCTGCAGGGCAGAGGCCGCGATTTAGGCGGCAGTAGGGCAGGGCCGCAACGGCCGGCTAAGGCAGGGCCGCGACTGGGGCGGCAGCAGGACAGGGCCGCGACAGGGGCGGCTGCAGGGCAGGGCCGCGACTGGTGCGGCAGCAGGGCAGGGCCGCGACAGGGCGGCTGCAGGGCAGAGGCCGCAACAGGGCGGCTGCAGGGCAGAGGCCGCGACGGGCGGCGAAGGCAGGGCCGCGACTGGGATGGGCCAGCGACGGGCGGCGACGGGCCGGCGACGGGCGGCAGCGGGCCGGTACGGGCCGGCGACGGGCCGGGACGGGCCGGGACTGGCCAGCGACGGGCGGCGAAAGGCAGGACAGGGCAGTAGTGGGCGGCTAAGGCAGGGCCGCGACGCGTGGCGACGGGCCAGCGACGGGCGGTTACGAGCCGGGACGGGCCGGCACGGGCCAGCGATGGGCGGCTAAGGCAGGGCCGCGACGGGCCAGCGAAGGCAGGGCCTCGACGGGCCGTACTAGGGAAGGGCGCGTGACGGCGCAAGTAAGGCAGGCGCGAGGCGCGCTTCGGGCAGGGCAGGAAAAAAAAAAATTCGTGGTGGGCCCTAAGAAAAACGTTCCCACGAGGGAACCTGCTTAGAATACCATGTTAGAATAGTGAACAAATCAATGACTGAACTAGCAAGCAGGTGGGTACAAGTTGGAAACCTAAAAGTGTTTTACCCTATATGAACTACCCCACTACAGCCTAGATAGAATATAGCATATGAGTTTGACAGTGCATGTACAAGGAATACTTACTGCACGCATCCACCATTCCCCTGGTTGATCTTTGAGAATTCGCACAATCATCGCAAGCAAGGGGTGTGCATGACACAGGTTGTCCTGGTTTAAGTGTAACCCAAAAACTACGATGTTGGAGCTCATTTCGAGCTTGAACTCTCGCATAGTCTCACAATATTCCCCTTCCACCTAACGTTAGTGCGTTTCCCATGGTTCTTATTTGGGTCTCAGCTGGTAGGACCAAGTGCAAGTTCACTCGGAAAGTGAACCGAACCGGGCCGGTTGATGCAAACTGGTTGGCTCTTTAACGAACCACGAACCGGCTCCATGCAAAACCAGTTCGTCCAAGAACAGGTTCGGTTTGGTAGCCAACCGGTTCTGATTGTAAGGGCATAAAAACCAACATGTTCGGTTCGGTACCCTGCTCATGCCTACGTGGGATTACTTACTAAACGCACCCACCATTCCCCTGATCGTCCTCCCATCTCCTCCTACCCTGCCAGACACTAAACCACCCGTGTTGTTGTGTGAGTGCCATTGGCCATTTTAGACAAACTGCTCAAGAGTGTTCTAGCAGAGGCACAGCAGGGAAGGGAGTTATGGTGGGAGGTGAAGGAGGGACAGGACGGGCAAGACGGGCAGGAGGGGCAGGAGGCTGTTGGTGCGTGAGTGCTGTATGTGTACTGAACCCGCCCACACTTCAATGGGGCACACAGGTTGCTGAAGAGCGAGCTGGCAGAGGAAGCGAAGGGGGGGTGAATGTGGTGGGAGGGGCAAGAGGGGCATGCGTGAGTTTCCCTCATGTGCATGCGGATTGGGCACACAGGTTGCTGAGGAGCGAGCTGGCAGAGGCAGAGGGGGGGAAGACAACTATGGTGGGAGGGGAAGGCGCGGGGGGGCCTACAGTTATGGCAGGAGGGGCAGGAGGGGCAAGAGGTCCGTGGGTGAGTTGTGCTGGCCCACACTTTCATACGTTACACATGCTGCTCAAGTTCCTCCATCCCACCTGCTGTTTCCTCACACCTTCAAATCCCACCACCATCTCACTCCCACCACCATCTCTCCCACCACCATCTCACTCCCACCCAGAAACCTGCTCCTCACTCCCACCACTGCCTTTGCCAAGCAGGAAAGGAAGCACGAGGACCAGGCAGCTTGGCTGGAGTCAAGATTCGCACAGTCAAATAAGTAGGAGTCCTGCAACAAGGGGGATGATCTGGGAACAACCTGCCTCTTCTTCCCACCACCATATCTGCCATGCAGAGAATGAAGCCGGCTGTGGTCAGAAAGAGGTCCAAGCAGCCAGCCAGGCTGCAACCAAGGCTCGATACAGTCAAATGCAGAGTCATGCGAGGAGAAATACCAACAAGACGAACCCATGTGGGCGTTTTGGGTTGTGTGCTCCCTTCGTCTATTATATGTTCGAAGTGGTATGTGTTGTAGATTACATAAGTGCACTGCAATAGCTAAGTTTAAATGCGTGGTGTATGAATGATTACCCACATTTTTTTTGCTTGGCAAGTGAGCTTGTAGAATTTGTTGAGGAATCAATCGGGCTTTTCTTTTTCAAAATTATATCAGTAGGTTAATTTCGGTGAGCTTTTGTAACGAATCCTAATTTCATATTGTACACCTTACTTTAGCTTGCATGTTCCGAGGCGCTCGCGTCAGCTGTTTTTCTTTTTTGATAATGCAAGTTACACTATAGCAGTGCATACAAGCATTGACAGTCGTAACAGTAGCCGATGGGCCTAGATAGCAACCAGCCATCGCACCCATCCTGACACCTTACGGGGGGCGGTAAAATGTGCGCGGGTTGGCCCAGATGGATGTGAAACCACTGGTCCACGCAAGCGTCTTAGCTGAGGTGTCACAGATCCTGCGCATAAGACGGAACTCATCCGGGTCCAGCCGCTCTAACGAAGAGTGCTGCCCCGGCCCTAGCATAAAACCAGCTGCCTTGCTACCCTTTTTGGCCCGTAGATAAACCCTCGCGTGGGTGTAGAAAGTCGCTGCAATTTTCCGCAGTACCCTTCTGGACCGGAACTGCCCTCTCTCGAAAGCCGCATCACACCTTTCCACCCAGATCTTGTGCAGAGCGACCGCAGTGAGTGTTGCTTCTGGAAAACCTGAGGCTGACCCTTCTTTTTGGTATATCAAATCGCCCAGCGACTCAATTTTCCTGCCCGGGTTGATCATCCGGAGAGCCTTCAACAGCACATGCACCACCGGTTGAATGCGAGGGCAGTCGAATAAACAGTGCTCTACTGTTTCTTCCGCCCCGCAGTGAGGGCACGAAACCCCTTCCATAAACTTCAGCCTAACCCCAACCTGAAGGTTACGGCAGTGTAGTATGAGCATGACATCCCGGGCGCGATTTGGCAGCAACCCCGAGTCCCGCACCCTGATGATCCTCCTCCAGTCAATAGGTTTCCCCCAATCTTCCGCCCATTTCTCCTGCTGCAGCGCTGCTCCCTGCTGCGCGCCGAAAAACGCCCTCAGTTGCTTGAAGGGAGGGATCTGCCCCCCTGCACACAGCTCCGAACAGCGCAGCCGTACTTTAGGTAGGCCACCCACTCCAATCACTTTCCCCGCACTTATCATTACTGGTTCCACTCTCTCCAGCCTCAGAATCGCGGATGTTTCCGCACTTCCCACCAACGGCTCCCCGAAGCAGTCACAAGCACGGCAGGCCAGGCCCTCCTGAACCACTGCATCCACCTTCCACACTCCCACCGTGCCCTTCCTTTTCACAAACTCTGTCACCTCCAGGAACTCCGCCCCCGTGATAGGCGCCAGCAGTTTCTGCTTCCATAGGTCCGGGATACAGTGGAAAACCTTAAGCGCCCTTCGCGCCTTTTTAAGAGTGCTGAACACCTTCTCCAACTCCTTTTCATCCTTGAGGAAACATGTACCGTCGTTCGAAATGCCAACGAAATCGCCCAGCTGGAAAAGCTCCAAGCCCTCCGCCATTTTTTGACAGCCCAACGGTTTTTTCCCGTTCGACAGGATCCGTCGATTGAATACCAGCGGCTCCTGCGCAATATCCCAGCGCGACCTCGGTTCCTCCCTTGCAACCTTTGACTTCATGAACAATTCACAGGTCTGCTTCCATCTGACACTTCGCCCTTTCCATGTTTTCAGGAGCTCCTCGTGCGCCCAGAAAGAACGAAAACCCACCGGAAGATCTGCTGCCTTCTTCGCCAGCCATTTGCGGACACCGCCTCTGTCAAGCACTAGCAGCCCCACCCGTCTGGCAGCCAGGCTACAGATATCGACGAAAGGGTCTCGCACCTCCAGCCCGCCTTCCTTCCTCGGCCTGAAGATAAGGTCTCTGCTCCAGAGTGTGAAATGCTGCTCAACAGACGCCCGGTTACCGGAGATGAAGTTCACCAGCAGTTTCATAATCCGCTTCCACACCTTCTCTGATGAGGGATACACTTGACCTTGGAACGTCAGGATCGGGCAGACGTAGGCGTTAACCACCGCTACCCTCGCAGTCGTGGTCAAGTGCCTCGATTGCCACTTGGTGAGTTCTTCCGCTGCTCTGGCGAGCGCTTTGTCCCAGGTAACATCCGCACTTCCTGAGGGCGAGACCCACACACCCAGTAGTCTTTCGGCTCCCTTTGGTTTTACCCATGCGAAACCTGACTCCTTGTCCTCCCCTTTCTCCAGATTGGTTCCCACCGGGAACAGCGCCGATTTCGCTCGCGTCAGCTGGTTCTGCGAGGAAATGATGAACCGCCATGTTTTCTAGTTTTTGATTCCAATGGGAAGTGATTTTGACAGCGCATTCTTTTGCGCTCACGTCCAATTCCCACGGGCAGTTTTTTTCGCCTCTTCACAATTCCCGTGACCAAATGTGTAAAAGGGCAAGTACGAAGTTTACATGGTTTCAGTTTAGTTCCCAGTGGAAAAACTAAACCCCTCTCGGATGACAAGCCATTTGGGTGCATCAACCCTAAACACCTTGCCTCATGGTGTTTAGGGTTGATGCCTTCTACTTGGCATGCTATCCAAGAGGGTATATATCTTTTGGTCCCCAGCTTCGAGTTTGCTGTGGACGCGACGAAATGATCTGGGATATCCCGTGGAAAAACAAACATATTTTATTTTGGACTCAAAAAGAGACATCGCAAATTCATATGTCCCAAGGAATTCGGCGCGAGTGCGAAGCAAGGCGTTGTCAAAACCACTGCCAAAAGGAATCGGAAACAATAAAACAGGGCGATTTGTCATCTCCTCTAGTTCTGCCGACATTGTCGCGCCGAACCACTTCCGAGTCGCCTCCGCACCTTTCGTCACACTTCCGAGCCTCGCTACCCCGACCTCCTCGCCCAAGCAAGAATCTGCCTATTTGAGTTTACTCTGTAGCTTTCGGATTACAGCGCATTTCACTACTTTTGTGAATCACGCGCTCTCATATCGAATCACGTATGCCTAGGTTGTGTCTCGCCACCTCTTGGCCAAACATGGGGCGCTGGCCACGCTGGAGTCACGGGAGCCGCGTTTAGCAAGTGAGAGCTAGGAGGCCAACAACAGGGCGTCATATAGTGGCTCGATAGCGGTCGCCCAGGTACGCCCACCAGGTGGTCACTACCGAGATCAACACCCTGCTGGCGGAGCTGCTGCGTATCCACTGCTGTCCCCACTCCCACCTCTCTCCCTCCCTTCCTTCTCTACACCCCTTTCCCCCTGTCCCCACCCTTTACCCCCCCACCCTTATTCCCCACCCAGGTACACCCACCAGGTGGTGACACCAGAGCTGAACGGGCTGGCTGGCGCGTGCACTGCTAATCCATACATGCCCCTTTCTTCCCTTCCATTCCCCCCCATCCCTCTATGCCCCATCTTTCGCCCCCCAGGTACGACCACCAGGTGGTCACACCCGAGCTCAACGCGCTGCTGGTGGAGCTGCTGTGATTCCAAGTCAAGGCGCATCAGAAAGACCCAATCAAAGGTGAGTCTCCCTGTAGGTGATTTCCCCTCAAGGTGAGTCCAGCTCAGAGCGTTCCAGAAAGACCCCCTCAAGTTCAGAACCCTCTCAATGTGACTTCAGCTCAGAGGCATGGGAGGAACGAGGCCTGCTGTGCTTCCAAGTCAGGGCGCTCCATCAAGGTGAGTCCCCACCATTGTGGTGGCAGACCTATGAACCGGGTTCGGCCTGGGTCAGGCCAGGTCGGATGCCTCGGGCCGAACCCCTGAATTGTCATGGTGACCCATCCGGTTTGAGCCCGCCAAACAGATTTTGGCCCGGTTTCGGCCAGACATCTAGGGGTCGGGCCGAACAAGCCTGCTTCGCGTCACAGCCTGCGTCGGGCTGAATGTCCTGGATGTGTGATGGTGTCTCTCAATACTGAAAGGCTCCTGTAGAAGGCGAGGAGGTCAATGGAAAGAAGGGGACGGAGAAGGCTGTTGCGGTGCTTGTAATGTATCGCTTTCGAAAGTCCTGTCATTTGCAGAAGGGAATGGAGCCATCCATTTGCTCCCGTCTCTGTCTCACCGTCCGCCCTCTCTCCTCAATCCCACCACCACATCCCCCATGGCGCCATTCATCAAGAGGCTTTGACTCTTCACGCACGTCTATCTTATCAAATGCAGCCACACACAGCAGCATTCAAAGTTCTAATCAGCCTATCTACCCCACGCCACCCCACCCCATCCCATCTTCCCCTCTGCCTCTCCCAAGGCGGCCTTGACGCGGCCCTTGGGTCCATCCTAGACATGAGCAACGGGCGAACACCGAACATGTTCGCCCGAACCTCCACGAACATGTCTTGTGGGCGAACCGATTCGGTTCGCCCGAACATGTTTTGGGGATTTTAGGTGTTCGGTGTTCGTGATAGGGGGGCGAACACTGCATGTTCGGGGCGAACCCGAACATGTTCGAGGTTCGAGAGTGTGTTTTCAGTGGGCCTGCTCCTCCCCCGTGGCCTCCCCCCCTTCCGAACATCGAACATGTTCGGCCGAACATCAAACATGCTCGGCCGAACATTTGTGGCCAAAAAACATGTTCGGTTCGGTTCTGTCACGAACATGTTCGGACGAACCGAACAGGGGTTCGGATTTTTGCTCATGTCTAGTCCATCCTATCACATACCTGCACACGCATTCCCAGCTCAAATCACTCCCACCCACCCATCCCTCTCCCTCCTCCCCCATGCCACCACTCACCCGGCGGCCTTGACACGGCCCTCATATCTATCCTCTCAGATGTCGCTACGCTCAGCATTCACACCCCAAGCCACCCTCACCCACCCAACCCTTCTCTCCCCCTCCCCTTCCAATGCATCCTCCGGGCCCTCACATCTGTCCTATCCGACGCCACGTCTCGCAGCAGCATTCCAAACGCTCCCCCTCCCCTACCCACCCACCCCCCCCCTCCTCTTCCACCTTCCTTTCCCCACCCGCCGTCCCCCCCCATTCCCGTCACCCCATCCCTCATATGCCACCATGCGCCGCATTCCCAGTTCGATTCAGACTTCAACCCACCCATCAAGTCCCCTCTTCGCCCATCCAACCACCCATCAAGTCCCCTCTTCGCCCATCCAACCACCCATCAAGTCCCCTCTTCGCCCATCCAACCACCCATCAAGTCCCCTCTTCGCCCATCCAACCACCCATCAAGTCCCCTCTTCGCCCATCCAACCACCCATCAAGTCCCCTCTTCGCCCATCCAACCACCCATCAAGTCCCCTCTTCGCCCATCCAACCACCCATCAAGTCCCCTCTTCGCCCATCCAACCACCCATCAAGTCCCCTCTTCGCCCATCCAACCACCCATCAAGTCCCCTCTTCGCCCATCCAACCACCCATCAAGTCCCCTCTTCGCCCATCCAACCACCCATCAAGTCCCCTCTTCGCCCATCCAACCACCCATCAAGTCCCCTCTTCGCCCATCCAACCACCCATCAAGTCCCCTCTTCGCCCATCCAACCACCCATCAAGTCCCCTCTCCCCACCGTTCCCCCGGCGGTCTTGACACGGCCCTCACGGCCCTCACACGGTCTTGATGGGCACGAGTGATGGGCACGAGTGATGGGCACGAGTGATGGGCACGAGTGATGGGCACGAGTGATGGGCACGAGTGATGGGCACGAGTGATGGGCACGAGTGATGGGCACGAGTGATGGGCACGAGTGATGGGCCCCAACAGGCTCAGAGCGTTCTTGATGGGTCCAACCAAAGGTGCGTTCACTTCTTAGAAATGCAGGCATCTCAAAACCCGATCTCTGAGGCGTCTAAAAAATTGGCTCCGAGTGTTCTTGATGGGGCCAGCTATTGATGCATGCGGCTTTTATGAATACAGGTGTACAGTTATGCAGTGCAGTAGCTGCCTGCAGTAGCTGCCTGCAGTAGCTCAATGCACAGTTATGCAGTGCAGAGTAGTGTTGATGGTGCGCTTGCGGACACGTAGGATTTCGTGGGGGTAAATGGATGGGGGAATGATAGTGACAGATAGGGGCAGCACATCCCCACCCATCCTGGGCGAGGTGAATGCAGATGTAGGGAGATGAGTGCTGGAAAGAAATTGCAGGGGTCACCACCGTCCCACCAGGGCTGACGATTCAAATATGGGTACCCTGTTTTCAATCCCCCAAAAAGAGATTTACCCTGAAGGCACATTTTCCGCAAAACGCCAAGCCTGAGCCTTCTTGCGATGTTCAGGGTTCACGAAATCGTAAGTCTGGGCTGTCAGGGTTGGCGAATTGAAATCAGGGTTGATTTTTTTCTTCTTTCTAGTTTGGCGAGAAAAACAGTGACGTGTTTGACGCGAGAAATCTAGCTGGATTGGCGGATTGGCTGGAGGGAGTGCATGTGGCGTGGGAGGATCTCCTAGGGGCGCAGGGGCGAGAGCGAGGGGTGTGCAAAGGGGGAGGGAGCAAGTGAGGGGGGTGGGTGGGGGCTATTTCGTGACCGCGGGTCGTCCGCACAAAAGGGGGAGAAGGGGGGGAGGAAATGGGGGAACGGACTGCTCATGGGAGGGGTGTCGAGACTCGACCTGGTTTTGGTGGGGGGAGACGTTTTTCAATATTAGTGTCTCGTTTAGTTTCACAATTATTATAATTTACACATGTTTTTTTCTCAAAAGTTAACGAAAAACAGCTGATGACTATAAATTATCAGTCACATGGCGATACGGTGTTTCACTACGGATGGTTTTTTTTTAATCTCCTGCCGAATCACTTTGCGATCCGTCAGATCGCGATTTGTTTCTCGGTTTAAGTTTACAGCCAGCAGAAATCAGAAACTGAATTTTTAGTCATTCTAACAGAAACGTAGTGTACTGCGATAACCTGGATAGCGCTCATGGAGTCCCTGAGATGGGTGCAAGCGTAATCATGATTACACACATGGGGGTTATCGAGACGAAGGTTCCTGGAAGCTTCGTCCCGATAACGCTGCATTCAGGGTCAACAAGACGCATACTCTGTATGGACAGGGTCCTTAAGAACACTACTCTGTGAGTGTATACAAAATTCCAGGGTTCGCTAAAGTACTACTCTGACAAGATCATGTCAGATTTATATGACTTAGCTGCTGTAGGCTATAGTGGGGTAGCACATATGGGGTACAGCTTTCTAGGGTTTGTACTTGTACCCAACTTTCCCTTAGTCATTTCATTCCTCGTTCATTTTCACATGGTACAGAGCAGGTTCCCCTGTGGGAACTGTTCCTAGGGCCCACCAACTTTTTTTTCCTGCCCGGAGCGCGCTCAGCCTCTGCCCGAGTCGCGCTCCCCTCTCACGGCCCCGTCGCGCCGCCCTTACGACCCCGTCGCGCCGCCTCAGCGGCCCCGTCGCGTCGCGCCTCCCTAGTGGCCCCGTCGCGTCGCCCTTGCGACCCCGTCGCGCCGCCCTCGCGGTCCCGTCGCGTCGCGCCGCCCTCGCGGCCCTTTCGCGCCGCCCTCGCGGCCCTTTCGCGCCGCCCTCGCGGCCTCCTCGAGCCGCCCTCGCGACCCCTCCACGCCGCCCTCGCGGCCCCGTCGCCTACCCTTGCGGCCCCGGCGCCACCCTTCCCGGCCCCGGCGCCGCCCTTCTCGGCCCCGGCGCCGCCCTTCCCGGCCCCGGCGCCGCCTCTGCTGGCCCCGTCGCCCCACCCTTGCGACCCCGCGGCCCCACCCTTAAGGCGCCGGTCGCCACCCTTCGTGGCCCCGCCGCCGCCCTCAGCGGCCTCGTCGCCGCCCCACCCGGCCCCGCCGCCGTCCCCACGCGGCCCCGCCGTCACCACCGAGCCGCCGGCGCCGCTGAGCCGCCGATCTACCGAGCCGCCGCTGCTGCCGAGCCGCCCGAGCCACCCGAGCCGCCCGAGCCGCCGAGCCACCTGAGCCGCCCGAGCCGCCGAGTCGCCGAGCCGCCGAGCTCCAGTTGCTGCCGAGCCGCCGTGCCGCCGAGCCGCCCGAGCCGCCCGAGCCGCCGAGTCGCCGAGCCGCCGAGCTGCAGTTGCTGCCGAGCCGCCGAGCTGCCGAGCCGCCCGAGCCGCCCTGTCCGGTAAGAGCGGCACCTCTACCACTGCGCTGCCCTTACCCTACTGCTCCAGCTGCTAGTCTACTGCTGTCATGGCTACCCCCAGTGTCCTCGCTTTTGACGCTGAGGGTCGGGCCATTGACTTTGACGTCTGGGTAGATGACCTGCAGCTTTTCCTACAGTGCGACAGGGCAGACGGTCTCTCTCTCTTTGACCTCACTTCTGGTGCCTCTTCTGCCCCTGCTGCTGATGCTGACGCCACTGTTCGCTCACAGTGGGCCACACGCGACGCTGCTGCCCGTCTTGCTGTGCGCCGCCACTTGCCTACCGCTGAGCGTGCACACTTTAGTCAGTACAAGAGTGCTAAGACCTTGTACGACGCTGTAGTTGCACGCTACTCTTCCCCTGCCACTGCTGCACTTAGCCGCCTCATCATGCCGTACCTCTTCCCTGACCTCGCCGCTTTTCCCACAGTCGCTGACCTCATTACGCACCTGCGCACTAGTGACACTCGCTACCGCGCTGCCCTTCCTCCTGAGTTCTGCGCCAAGAACCCCCCTCCTATGTACATCACCCTCTACTACGTAGTCACCCGGCTCCCTGACACCCTTCGCCCGGTCAGGAACCACTTTCTCTCTGTTTGCCCCACCACCCTCACCGTTGACCTCCTCGAGGAGCGCCTCCTAGCAGCAGAGAAGAGCATAGTCGCTGTAGGAGCCTCTCGTGGTGACCCTCGTGCCCCTGTCTTTGAGGGGTGCTCCCCCTCTCCTCTCTTGCCCTCTGTTGCCTCTGCTGCTGCGGCCGACCTCGTTGGTCTTGAGTCGGTCGGTGCGGCGTCTGCCCCTAGCGGGAGACGCCGCACTGGCAAGGGCAAGGGGGGCAGGGGCGCTGGAGGAGCTAGCGGGGGCGGTGGAGGCGGCGGAGGGGGTGGGGGTGGCGGTGGGGGTGGTGGCGGGGGTGGGGGCGTCGGTGGCGGCAGTGGAGGCGGAGGCGGCGGCGGCGGTGGCGGTGGGAGCGGAGGTGGCGGAGGTGGCGGCGGTGGAGGAGGCGGCGGCGGAGGAGGTGGAGCTGGTCGGGGTGGCGCTGCGCAGAGGGTCAGCTCCGGTGGTGGTCAGCGCCAGCAGCAGCAGCAGCAGCAGCAGCAGCAGCGCACTCGTGAGATCCCCCCCCCTCAGCAGCTTCGTGAGTGGTACGCTGCACGCCAGCGGGGTGGGGGTACTGGTCCGTGCACCTACGTCCTACGCACCGGCGACCGTGCGGGTGAGCCGTGCGGGGGTGCGCACTCCACCCAGCGCTGCTTTGGCCGCCTGACAGACGCTTGGCGTCACCAGTTCCCTGAGGCCACTGAGATCCCTCGCTGGGGCGAGCTGTCTAGGGCGGGAGTAGCTATCTTTGACCTTGACTTTGATGCTATTCTTGCTGCCATGTATGCTGTGACTATTAGTGATGAGGGTGACTGTTACGGGTGTTTTCCGCCCGACCCGGGCATTGGGACTGCTGCTCTAGGTACTGGTGAGGCTGCTGCTCTAGGTGCTAGCGAGGCTGCTGCTCTAGGTGCCAGTGCGTCTGCTTCCTCAGGTGCTGGTGAGTTTGCTCTCTCAGGTACTGCGTCGGCTCCGGCCTCCCACACCTTCACTCTTGACTCGGGGGCTTCTCGCTGCTTCTTTCGAGACCGCACCACACTCACGCCGCTTGGTCGGCCAGTTGCAGTCTCTCTGGCAGACCCCTCTGGGGGTCCTGTCCTTGCTCACTTCTCCACTGTCCTCCCGTGTCCGGCGGCCCCCTCTGGCACCCTGTCTGGTCTTTACCTCCCCTCGTTCTCTACGAACTTGGTGAGTGGTGCTGACCTACAGGATGCGGGGGTTCACCAGTTCACTCCTGCGAGCCAGCGTGTGACCCACTGCACGGACGCTCGGACGGGCCGACACTTGGCCACGTTTACACGTCGGCCGGGGTCGAGCCTGTACACACTGACCACTGAGTCTCCTCCAGTCACTGCGTCTGGTCAGGCAGCTGCGTCGGGTCAGGTCTTTGCTGCAGCGTCCAGGTCTGGTCCTGAGTCTGCCCCCTGCTCGTGTCGCCTCCTGTCTCACGAGACTCTCCTCTGGCACCACCGCCTTGGTCACCCCTCCCTGCCTCGTCTCCGAGGCATGGCCTCCCGTGTCCTTGTCTCTGGTCTTCCCCGGTCCCTCCCTCCCCTTCCTCCGGGGCCTGCCCCTACCTGCGTCCCCTGTGTTGAGGGGCGGCAGCGTGCTGCCCCTCACTCCTCCCAGTTTCCTCCGACAGAGGCCCCGCTGCAGACGCTTCACATGGACGTGTGGGGCCCGGCCCGCGTCCGTGGACAGGGTCACGAGCGCTACTTCCTGCTGGTGGTTGACGACTACTCGCGTTACACCACAGTCTTCCCCTTGCGCAGCAAGGGTGATGTCACTGAGGTGTTGATCGACTGGATCCGCGCAGCTCGTCTCCAGCTCAGAGAGAGTTTCGGCTCGGACTTTCCTGTTCTGCGTCTGCACTCTGACAGAGGCGGAGAGTTCTCCTCTGGC